TGATACATTTGGGTTCAGGTTTACCATTTTATTTTCTGGGTTTTTTTTTTTTCTGTTTTTGTTCTTTATCTGTAACCTTTCTTTGAGTTATTTGAACATTTTTTAGTATTCCATTTAGTATTCCAGTAATACATTAGTATTTTATTTTAATTTATTGTGTTTTTGCCTACATTTAATTTTTAGTGATTGCTGTAGGGATTATAGTATACTACTTATGTTCTCACAGTCTTTTTAGAATTAGTATTTACCACTTAAAGTGAAATATGGAAACGTTACCATCATGTAGGTCCCTTTCCCCTTCCCCTTTATGTTGTAATTGTCTTCTGTTACATCTACATATATTGGAAGCCTTTTTAGAAAGTGTTATAATATTGTTTTTAATTGCCAAACATATTTCGAAGAATTCAGGAGAACAGTTAATTATATTTACTCAGATACCACTTTTGCTGCTCTTCCCTCATGTCTTGTGTTTCATTTCCTTTGACTGGAGAGCTGGCAACTAATCTTACAGTTTTCCTTCAACTGAGAATCTTTTATTTCACATTTATTACTTAAGGATAATTTCACTAAATTGTGGATTCTGAGTGTACAGTTCTTTTCCATTTTAGCATTTAAGAATGTTATTCTACTTCTTTCTGATGAGAAATCAAGTTATTCAAATCATTAACCCACTTTCCCTTCATAAGTAATGCGTTAGTTATTCAATCTGCTTGCAAGGTTTTTACTTTGTAATTTTCAGCAATTTGATTGTGATGTGTCCAGCATGGATTTCATTGGAATTACCCTGTTTGGGGTTTGTGAGCTTCTTCACTCTGGAGGTTTATGGCTTTCACCAAATTTGAGATATTTCTAGCTACTATTGTTGTTGTTTACATCTCCTCTCCCTCCTCTCATTGCACTCATTTTCTTCTCCTTGTGCTCTTGACATGAACGTTAGGGATTTTGTATTGTCTAACATAGCCCTGACACACTAATAAATTTTTTTCAATATTTTTTCTCTCTGCTGGTAAGATTGGGTCATTTCTATTAATCTGTTTTCAAGTTCACTTCTGCTATTGAGTGTGTTCAGTGTATTTTCTATTTCAGGCATTGCATTTTTCAGTTCTAAAATTTCCATTTGCTGGTTCTTTATATCATTTATTTCTTGTGATTTTCTAGCTTTTCATTTGTTTCAGCAATATTTACTCTTACTTGTTGGAGCACTTTTCTACCTGCTTTAAAATCTTTGTCAGATAATTCACCCAGTGCTCTACTATTTGTGTCATCTTGGTGTTGGTTTCTATTGATTGTATTTTTTCACTTGAGTTTGAGATTTTCCTGTTCTCTCTATGCCAAGTAATTTTTAGATTTTGTTTTAGATATTTGGAACATTGCATTATAGAACTTAGTGTCTTTTTAAAATTCTATGGAGAATATTGATATTTTTGTTTTGGCAGGCAGTTGGGTTTAGGCCACAAGTTCCAACCATCTGTAGGTTGTAGTTTTAATCTCAGTTCTGTTTTCAAAACTTTTGCAGTACTATTTGGATTTTTTTCATCTGATCACTACCCAGTAGCTAATCTGTGACCTACATGGAGGGTTATCCCATATTTTAGTTTTCAGAGTCTATGGTATGCTATTTATGGTTAAATCTATATATGTGCAGCTGAGAGGTGATCTAGGAGTTCATAAACAATTTATAGGTTACTTTCTCAAACTCTTTTCTCTCTGTTATATCCTTGGTATTTTCTAGGTCCCCAGGGCCCTTTTACTATCCTCCAGCTAAAAAGCTTGGTCTTCATTTACTCCACTGTGGTGTGAACTTTCCACAGTTGCATCTGGAGCCAAGTGAAGGAAGACAGAAGAAAAATCAGTGCGATTAGGCCAGAGTTTCTTCAGTCAGTGAGGATGGTCCCTCTTCCTTAGAGTTTTAGGCTCCTGCTGGCCATGTTGCTACTACTGTTGTAGCCATCACCACTACAGGATTGCTTTGGAACTGGAACATGAGAATGAAGAACAGAGTGGGGAAAAAAGGAGAGATTTCCCTTACTTTCTGAGCATTAGGAGACCCCTTTCCTGCTCTTCGGACAGAGCTAGAGAGCTTTTCCTAGAGTTCTTGCTCTTTGTTATTACCAACAGCCACTTCCTAGGTTTCAGGCTGCATTAAGCCCAGAGTGGGGGCAAAACTGGATGGGAAAAAATTAGAAACTCACAGCTAGTTTGATAATATATTTGATTCTGGACTCTTCCCCCACCCACCTGCTGTTATTTACTTTTGAATTTTCAATTAGCTGCTCCATTTATTCTATCTAGGTTTTATAGTTTCAGTGATATTAACAGGGTGGAATGGGCTTACTCCATTTTACACAGAACCAGAGCCCCCAATCTCATTTATTACACATTTTAGAATGTAATGGCAACTTGAATCTTTTTATTTCATAGTTAAATATGGTTTGTCAACTATATCGTTATTTTTTTTGACATATAATTCTGCCATGTGTAACACTGCAAGCCCTATTGAGATGATGCTATATTAAATGTAAAAGATGTAGGAAAATTTATTTGTCTTCTAGAGCATAGTTTTCAAAAACTCTTAATTTTCCATAATTCTATTACATTTGAAAAATTCTGTTTTCATTTTAAACTCTATTTTTCTGCCTTAGGAATTCTGGCTTCTCTTTCACTTTGGAGTTGTTTTATTCTTTATTCATAAGTAATTTGTTTCAATAATTAGATTACTGGTCATCTTGAGCATAGTATAAGGTGACATGCTTCATGTTTATGGACTCTTGGCACTCACTTGCCTTTGCAGACACTGTGTGCAAGAATTATACTGACCTGAAGCATATGAAGCTGATTTCTATAAGACTCATAAGTGTGGGCGACTTCATCTTCTTTATTTTCAGTTTACCTGGTGAACAACAAGATGTAGGATTTTTTGTTCATCAGTGAATGGTGCTTGGAAATCAAGCCTTTTTCTGAATAGGTCCAAAATGAAAGAATTGAATATGAAAGAAATTGCTGTTGTTGATCAGCTGCTGACAGGCAACCAAATCACTGATAATCTTTTTAAAGACAACTAGAAAGTATTTCCAGGAACTGACATGCAATAGTAACTGAAAGCAGAGTATGTATCTTAGTCTGTTCAGGCTGCTATAACAAAGTACTGCAAACTGGGTGGCTTGTAAACAGAAATTTATTTCTCACAGTTCTAGAGGCTGGAAGTCCAAGATCAGGGTGCCAGCATGGTTGGGTGAGGGCCCTCTTCTGGGTTGCAGGCTTTCCCTTGCATCCTCACATGATAGAAGAGGCTAGGGATCTCTTTGGAGCTTCTTCTGTAAGATGGGAATCCTATTCATGAGAATTCTACCCATATGATTTAAGAACTTCCCAAAAGCCCCATTTACTAATACCGTCACCTTTAGGGGTTAGGATTTCAACCTATGAACTGAGGTTGGAGAGGGGATATAAATATTCAGACGATAGCAGCATGTAAATGATTCCATTAAACAAAAATTGAAAGTTGTTGAGTTTCATATCCATTTCAGTTTTACTATTATTTAGTAGTTATAAAGTTCAGTGTTTGAAAATATTAGTGGAAGGAAAAATTTTGTTGTTTTTATAGAGATATTCTAATTTACTGGTTCTCCATTATACTTCCTGATTAAGAATTTTATTTGTAACTGAAAAAATGTGACATTGAAAAAATATAACTACTCTGATCATGAATAGAGAGAAATTGGTGTGTTAAAGGGACAAACATTTTGTTAATTAAAGACCTGTTATTTTTTTAAATTCACGGTATTCAATTAGATAACTAATATACTCATAATTGTATGAAAACATACTATTTTATAAAATTTGAAGAAAGAAAAGGTGTTTCTCTCCACCAATATACATATTCAACAATTAGTCTGAAAAGCTTTTTCTGGGCATAGGCCTTTATGATGTGGGGTCAGGACAATATATCTTTTATATTTTCCTAATGGTCATTTCCATTGAGGAAGTCTAAAAGGCGCAGAACATCAACTGACCTATGTGCTCTAATTTGCACATATCCTTCCTTTCTTTTGAAAATTAAAATCCTCACTATCTAGTTAAAATTGACAATTCCAGTTCTGATTCCTTTAAATATGGAAATGCTGTAATGGTACAGAATGGTCAAGGGATTAGAAAAATGTATTTTAGATCCATTTGGTTTCAGTTGGGAAGGATTTTCTACAAACACATGTTGAAAAGATTTGGTGCTCATTCTATGCTTCTATAATATCTTGTGTTTACACCCATTATTGTACCTGCTATACTGTAATGTTATTGTTGATTTTTGTTTTTGTCAGGTGTGTCAGTGCTTAAGGCCTAGTGGTACCTAGAAAATAGGGAGAACTGACTAAATATTTATCGAATGAATAAATAAATTAGAGACAGGCGGTAGAAATATGGAGAATCTGGTGTACTGCCTATTTGAAAAAAGAAAAGTGATAACTGGTTCAGGATATGTAAGATCTTCAGTTCAGGAAATAATTTAAATTCTAGTAGTTGTTGAATTTCTGGGATGTTTAAATATCGTTTTGTGTATCTTTTTCTAAATTGCCTTCTTAGGTGATATGACCAGTTTCTTTGGGTTGTTTAAATATCGTTTTGTGTATCTTTTTCTAAATTGCCTTCTTAGGTGATATGACCAGTTTCTTTGTTGCGATAGATGTTTTCTAATTCTCTGTTACTTTGTTTTCAATTGTTTTTTTTTTTTCCTATATGCTGAAAATGACTTCTCCCTCTCTGAACAAAATGTTTTCATTATTATCGGCCGTCAGTACTTGTGTGTGTCTTCGTGTTTGAAGGGCATACTGTTACTCTGTCAAAATGTCTTATGTTCTAAATAAATAGTTCTCACATCCATCGGCCCTCTAGAATAAGTCATTCTTTATACTTTCCTGTTTTTTCTTTTGAACTCAAGTTAAATACAGAAACAGCTGGGTGAAAGTGAAATGAAATGAGACTAATTTTCATAATTCCTTCCCCAGAATAGTTTGATGGAAAACGGATTACGTAACTACTCGACTTGAAGAATCTTAAGGGTAAGAAGGTTCATGAATATTTGTATATTATTAATACTTACTAAATGACACTTTTAAGTACCACCTCGAATATTGTAGTTATAGCTTCACTTAACCATGACCATTTTTTTTTCTAGAGTTATCATATGTTACAACCATGTAGTGTTTTATCTCCTATAACTATATAAAGTAGAAAACAGGATGAAAAATCCTAGGACTATTTACTTTTGAGTCCTAGATTTTGTGTCTTGGTTCAACATTTCTATTTTTAGATAAACTAGAATCTTGATAAATATTGTCAGTGTAGAATAAAGAACTTATTTCTGTTTGTACTATAAGATCTGTTTGAAAAACTGACCATTTAAATTTTATGAACTTTGTACTCATACCATTTTTTTCTGTATGTGGATATTCTTGGAAATAACAGGAGTTTTTTGGAATAATGAAAATCTGTTCTTAGAGTCATGCAGATTTATTATGATACAACTAAAATCCATTTGGGGTGGGGAAGTTTTCATGTGTTTGTACATGTATGCTAGTTGTTGAGTACTTCTTTTGTGCTAAGCACTTTAAGTGGATTACATGATTATGTTACTTAACCTTTACAATGACTGAAGTGGTTATGGTTACTTCATTTTATAGATGAGAAAACAGGCTTTAAAGAGGTTAATATCACACAGCTAGTGGCAGACTATTTGAGGTTTGAACCCAGAGAGTTTTTCTAAAACCTGTTCTAAAGGAACATTCCTGTCTATACTGAAGAGTACTAGTATTAAAGCTCTTAGCATCAAACACGCAGGCGAAACATATTCTAAATAAAAAAATGTCAAAATAGCCCACTTGAAGCAAAGAAGTCTGACAGAATTGTTATATGGTGGAAATCAGGTAAGAAAAAAAATTTGGGGAGCATTCTACAAGAGATTAAAAATTCAACACTGACATATCAGAAGCAGGAGTCAGTTGATTTATGCAGCAAAGTTGCTGGAAAGGAAATAACTATTAAGCTGAAGGAGTTAATTGCATTAACCTTACTCTGAAGTGAACAAGTTGAAGGTAATAGAGCAAATATTCATGATAGTTTATTTATGCCAGATTGATAAAATAAGTGTAGATAAATCAACAAACACACATAGCCTTCAGGGGAATTTTAAAGGAAATCAAGGACAACATTGGAGAACCATTGACTCGTGTGTAATAAGTAACTGTTGTGTCAGAGTACACGTTGAATACAAATGTAGATAGATGCCCATACGTAAGAAAGCTTGAGGAGCCCTCTTCAGTGAGAGACCAAACCACATCTCCAAACAAAGCAGTCTTCTATAGTCTTTAATGGTGTTGGCAAACTTTTTCTAAAATGGACCAAATTGTATTGTATTGTATTTTTCATTTCTTTATTTCCTAAGTTTTTAAAAGTTAGACATTTATACAATCTGTGAAGTGATCCTCCTGATTACTCTAGCGCCTATCTGGCATTACATATAAACATTACAATAATATTGACTATATACACTACACCAGTGGTCTCCAACCTTTTTGGCACCTGGGACCAGCCCTCCTATGAGAATCCAGTGCCTGATGATGATCTGAGATGGAGCTGAGGCGGTGATACTAGTGCTGGGGAGCAGCTGCAAGTACAGATGGAGCTTTGCTCACTCACTCACAGCTCACCTCCTTCTGTGTGGCCCAGTTCTTAACAGGCCACAAACTAATACCGGTCTGCAGCCCAGAGATTGGGAACCCCTGCCCTACATTATACTCTAAATCCACATAACTGTTTTGTATCTAATTTGTACTTCTTCATCCTTTAACCTTTTTCACCCAGCCCCCAACCCCCTTCCACTCCGGCAATTACCACTTTGTTCTCTATATCTGTGAGTCTGTTTTTATTTAGTTTGTTTCTTTTATTCCTTAGATTCCACATATAAGTGAAATCATATGGTATTTATCTTTCTCTCTCTGACTTATTTTACTCAGCATAATACCCTCTAGGTTCGTCCATGTCATTGCAAATGGTAAGATTTCATTTTTAAAAAATAGCTAAGTAGTAATATTCCATATTATATATGTACCATAACTTCTTTATCCATTCGTGTATTGATGGGCACTTAAGTCATATTTAGCAGAGTATGTGGTTTTTGTCGCAGTTATTGAACTTTGTCATTGTAGTGCAAAAGCAGCCATAGGCAATATGTGAAGGAATGAACATGGCTATCCTGCAGTAAAACTTTATTTACAAAAACACTCAGCCAGTTTTTTGACCAGTGGCCTATACTAATGGATAGTATCCCTCTCTAGACACCAAAAAAATAAAAGATTAAAAAAATAGCCTTATTTATGGTTTCTCCAAGGGAAAATAACACTCTTACAGGTAGGATCAAAGTTTTGAGTAGATAATAAGGAAGCACTTAATGGTTTTATTTAAGACTGGGTTGGGGTAGAAGATCTTGCATTAATAGTAATAATGGTTAACATTTGAATGCTTATTATTACTAGACAATGTCATAAGCACAGAGTTTGTCTGACATCAGTGCCCAATCATTAATCACCGAAATACGCCACCACTCATAGTACCTTATTGAATGGACCTTCTTTTTTGTCTTTTTTAGAAGATTGAATTTGGGAATTGGTTTATCTTGGATAGAAGTTTGGAAATAAAGAATTAAAAGGAATAGACTGACTATGAGAGGTCCTGAGAGTCACTGTGGATTCTCCGAAGACCTTAGCCATACAAATCCATATAGTATTTAGCATCTTTATGAAGTGTGATTTGTCCTTGGCTTAAGTGTTCCCAACAATAGTGACCGCTCTTACTTTTCCTAGTATCCCTTTCGTTCTACTCTGGCTCCCATTTATCTTATCAATGCCTTACTATAGTAGAGTTTGCAATGGCAGAATTGGGTTTGGGAGTGGGGTGGAAAATAGAATTAAACTTCCTCATGGCCATTCATATGTCCCTCTTCCTTTTTCTTTGTGTCCAAAGGATCTGATTGTACCCTTTTGACAAAATATTACTAAACTTGATCAGTTAGTCAGAAATGTTTATTCATATTCTTTCAGTCCTTTGCCTTTTTCACTTTTGTCTAGGGAAAACAAAGAAATTATGCAAACAACAATTTTATTACCCTTCCCTGTTTTTCTGTTCTTACTAGCAGTGATAATAACAACAGCCATTTATTGCATGGCAGTGGAGCTGAGATTTGCATCTAAGTCTGCTGGACTCTAACATTTAGAGTCGTAACTAGGATGTTGATACCTTTAGATACTGTGGGTTTGCTTGGGACAGTAGGAGGAAGCAAGCAGAGGGAGTTTTGAAGTGAACTGGAAAGGAAAGGAGTTCTGTTTTGTAGTAGATGGAAGGAAACAGACTTTGGAAGAGGAAAAGATGGGGAGAAGAAAAGAATGATAGGAATTTTAAATGGAGCTAGTCAAAGCTAAAATATTTAGTTTCTATTACTAGGAACCTCTGGTCTTTTCTTGGAATACTTGAAGTGCTCCCAGCAACTATTATAGTAGAAAATAGATTGTTAGCATTGCTGGTATAACTTGAAGCAATTTTATATAGAGTGTGGTAGTTATATCTTAGAGTTGTGCCATCAGTATAGTAGGTAGCTGATAGCCACATTGGACTACTTAATGAAAATGTAAATGAAACTTAAAATTTAATTCTTCACTTGTATTAGCCACAGTTCAAGTGCTTGATAGAATAATTCCCAATTGGGCAGCACTGTTTTAGAGAACTGTTTTCTACACTATTGTTACTTGAATGCATTGTAATGGCTCACCTGAGACTTTCACTTCCATGATTTGTGTGGGAAAAGAGTTTTAAGGTCCTGAAAACTGCTTTTTTTCATTCCACATTCTAAAAGTTGATAGTTTTATGATAAATAAATTTCAAGATTAGGTCATTCTTCTCAAACCGTTTGATGAACATATTTGGAATAGTATTTTCAATACATAACAGAGGCAATAGAAAAGGGCAACCTGGAAGGTAGAAGTACTTTAAGATCTTTATATTAGGGATAACAGACTTAAAAGATATTTTAGCTTGGAAAGGTAGAACCTGGGAAGAGAGATACGAGGTCGAAATTTGCAAATTAAAATGATCTGAAAAGTAAACAGAGTTAACATAAAATCTAGAATGAACATCACTTCTTTGAAATTTATTTGTGGTAAATCAAAATTAAAAGAATTGGTTTTGACTTATAGATAATTAACTTACAGAATTTGTTAAACTAATAAATAGTCTATGTAAAATAGACAGGATTATAGAGTCATAGATACTTAATCAAGAAATCGGGTTATATTTAACTTTTTGGGAAACCACAAAGGAGAATAGTCAGGGCCACTGACAGCATATTTCTTAGGTCTTTTGTTGACCACAAATTACTGGCTATGACCATGAGCTTGTATTGTATTCCTCTGCTTCTGTTACTGGAAGTTCAAAGCAAAACTGGTATTAAAAAGCCTGGATTCTTAGATTTAAAAGTGGAGTCTAGGCAGATAGAACAGTTAAACATGAACAAATTAAAAGTTGTTGAACTTAAACGTGTGACTTTGATCTAGTGAAATGCTAAGACCTCTATCATTTTAGATGAATAAACTGGTAATGTGGCATAATTGTTTTTAGGTATGGAAACAGTTAATGCATGGTATGTTCCAGAAGAAGCACATAAGTTGTAAAAATTTGGAGCACTCGAACAGTTTTTTAAGCAGATTTCTAACATGTAAAGAAGGAAAGTTTAACAGCTTGATTGAGGTCTCTTAGCTTCTCATGATAAACCATTACTTATGTACTTCATTGCAGGAGTTAAAAGAGAATACACTATTTATTGCAAAATATAAATTATATGTTAATATATAAATACTATAAGCTTAATATTCTTAAAGGAGAAATATTACATCTTCTGAAAACTTCCTAGGTTTTTAAAATACTGTTAATTTTCAAATTGACATTTTTTTCACATTGAATTAACTCCAACTTAAATATTTTTTATTTTCAGATTTTTAGGATAATGTGGGTGAGTGTATAGTATGACTTTCCTAAATAAATTATTATACTCAATTATAGACTTTACTTAAATAAAGAATTACAGTCAATTATAGATCATACAGGAGCGCAGTGTAACTAAAATCAACTAAACTGGGACGTTGTCTAGAGCAGTGTTTCTTAGGCTTTTAATGTACTTATGAATCTTGATAAAATGCAGATTCTTATTCACTAGGCCTGGGCTGGTGGTGCCTGAGATACCCTGCATTTGTAACAAGTTCTTAGGTGATATTAATACGGTATTTTTGAATGAATATCAAGTAGCGTAACCTATGATTATATGAATATTTTAAAAGTAATCTGTCTTCCATCGATTATAGTTGTTCAGGTCAGAATACTTCGGAATTATCCTGCACTCTTGCTCTCTAACACATACTCATATTTGATCTTGTTAGCAAACCCTTATAACTATATTTTGAAAACACAGGTAGAATCTGAGCACTTTTCATCACCTTTGCTACTACTGTGGTACAAGCCATTGCCATGTTCTCTCTAGATTATTGCAGTAGATTCTTTGCTGCCTCTACTTTTTTCTTTGCTTCCTCCTCTGCTTAAAATTCCGTATAGGCCCATCTCACTCAAAGAAGCAATTGTATTTATTTACCTACTATCTCTCTGTCCTCATCTACTATTTTTCCTCTCACTCTATTCTAACCATTTATCTCTTTTTTTTTTTTCATGAACACACCAGGCGTGCTTCTCTACTCTGCCTTTGGACTTTCATATTTGCTATTCTCTCTGCTTTAGAATGCAATTCCTCTACATATTCAAGTAACTCTTCTTTCAAATTGCCAGTTCACATGTCACTTTATCAGAAAAGCTTTTTCTAAACACTCCATGAAATAACAGCTTCTCCACTTTCTCACGAGTTAGCCATACTAATTGTATGGTTTTTATTCATAATTGTATTGTTTTATTTTTCCCCATAGCACTTCTCAACATCTAACATATCAGATATTTTACTTTATTTTATCTCTCCCACTAGAAAGTAAAGGCAGGAATTTCTGTCTTATTCAGTTCTGTACTTCGGGTATTGCCTAATAGTATACTGATAGCACTCAATACATCTTTGAATTAAAAAAAAAATTCCACAAAAAGCTGTCGGGCCTCTCTTTAAATACCTTCATTGATAGGTTATTCTACCTCCTTTTAGAACAGCCCATTCTATTTGAAGATAACCGTTAACCTTCTTAAGCCTTTTGTTCTTCCAGGCTACACGTTCTTGCTGCTTTGCCTTTCTGCATATGATATGGTTTCCAGGGCTGTCACCATTTTAGTCATCTTCCCTGGACTTTCATCATTTTGTCCCTAAAGAATACTACTAGAACTAAAATAAATGTTGCACATGTAGGCTGAGTGAGGAACTTTTCTCTTGCTTTTGACATTCTGTTTTTATTAAGGTAGACTGTGATCGTATTAACTTTTTTTTAGTAGCTCTAGTCCTCATTTCAAATTTTTAATCCAAAACCTTTAAATCATTCTTATATGTGCTACTAAGTTTCTTATCTTCTGCTATACAATTGGTTTTTGAACCAAAGTTGGGCCTTTACATTTCACCTTATTTAACCTAATGGAGAATTTTCCTGTGCAATAGATACCTTTAATGTAGAAACTACCATGAACAAAAAATTACTTCATATATAGATAGAAGAATAACTGATGAAATTGGTGATTTCTTGTGCCTAGTTATTATGTATTTACATACATTGCAATCACATGACTTGCCTCAATTCAAGAAATAATTCTGAGTTGATTTAAAAAACAGTTTGCCTCATAAATTTGTTCCCTTTGGCTAACATTAATTTCCCGTTTCTCATTTGCCTCTTATAATCACCATTTTCTAGTATTCTGGCCAGAATAATATTTGATTCCTTCCCTGTGTTTATGTAGTCACTGAATCTCAAAAATATTTCAGCTCTTTAGTTTTTTGATTTTTCTGTTCACTTCATAGCCAGTTACCCTACCTATGCAAATCTCTCTGCTTCTAATATCTCTCTACTATAATCAATTCTGTACTTTTCTGGCTGCTCATTCTTTTAAAGGGTTCATTTCTATCACTTTTCTCACATCAGTGTTCTTTAGAAGAATCTATAGGATTGAATTTAAATTTCTTAGTCAGCCATTAGAGATCCCTCTATAATCTAACCCTGCTTGATTTACATTGCTCTGCTTATAGCTTTTCTTACCCCTCAGTGTAATCTTTCAGATGAACTTCTTGGCACACATGCCCATCCCTCCTCAGGACATACACACACACACACACACACACACCCCTTTACACCTCTACTCTTATTTTTGCCAGATTGACCTAGCTAAATACTATTTTTTTCTTTTTTATTATGTCGCTCCTTAAATACCTTGAACACCTCAACATATATAATATATCACCTTCAATGAAAAATCCAATCCAAACTAATCTCTTTTCTAAGCTCTGATTGTATTTATGTCTGACCACACAACTTATCATTTAGTCTTTGTTGCTTAATACTTATATAAGGCTTTTCCTTTCAGTAAGACTTTGTGCTCGATGGGCAAAGAACATAAAAGTATTGGATTATCCACAAAATTTACTGATTGGGCCTGTACTGTGTTCTTTTATGTGTAAAATAATTTCTTACAGTTCTGGGACTTATTTAAAAAATACTGGGAGAAAGCAAACATAAAAATTCTCTGTTATAATTCATCCTATAGGAAACCCCTTTTCAAGGCAAAATGAAGAAGAAAACTGTATATACCCTAAACGTGGGAGATCAGGAATATGAAGATATGGAAGGTAACTTTTCCTTTTTATAAAGTTTGTATGTTAAAAGCAAAACTGAGTGTTTTCAAACTGTTTATTTGTATACATTTCAAAATACACAAGGAGTTTTTTGTTTTTTTCTTATTTTTCCTCTTAAATTCTGAAATAAGCTGCCAGATTAAGAAGTGCACACATTATTTTTCTTCCTCTCATGTCTTATTTTTAATTGATCAAGGTTTTTGGTTTGTTGAGCTCTTTTGTTTTTCTTTTTAAATTTTTGCTCCCTATTTGTTTAGTAATTACATACTTTTTCTGTTTTTTTAATTGTTGTTTTTCAAAATAGCATTGATACTTTCCTCTGCTTCTAAAGTTAATATTTTAATCTTCGCTGCCGATAGTAGAAGAATCTTAGAACACTAACTTTGAGCATCCTACTCGAGATTTATAGGTTATAGTTATCCATCATTTTGGTACCTTTTTTTTTTTTTTGAGCACCACAAATTAAACGATATTTGATACAGACAGTATTTGGGTTTGGGTGGAGGGTTTATTCTTCTCTATTTCTTTTCTTTCTGGGGAAAAAAAAAAAGTTCATTAAGTGAGAAATCTGTTGGTAAACTCTAGGTTTTTGTATTTATCCTCTTCACAACTATTCTAAAATAGGTATAAAATTTTGGATTGATAGGTTTTTTTTCCCTCTTAGTACATTGAAGATATTATTTAAGCCGTTTTCTAGTTTTCTTTCTTGCTGTCAAGAAATCTCTTTTCAGCCTTAATTGTCATTCCCTGGTAGATGACCTGTGTTTTTCCTCTTTTGCTTTTAGTACGTTTTCATCTTTGATGTTGTACAGTTTTGCCACATTGTTTCTAGGCTTGGATTATTTTTATTTTTCCTTTATCTGTTGGATCATGGTTTTTTTGTTGTTTGGTTTTAACTTATTTTATCATTTTCCAGTCATTACTGCTTTAATTATTGCCTCCTCTTTATTCTTTCCTTCTGGACTTCAATTAGTATGTTAGACTTTCTTCTGACCTCATTTCTCAACAACATCTCTTTCACAGGTTATATCTCCTTGTCTGTCCTTTATAGTCTAGGTAGTTTCCTCAAATCTTTTTTCCAGTTCACAAATTTCTATTTCTTCTGGGTCTAATCTGCTGTTTAATCATTCTGTGTAGTATTTGAAAATTATGATATTTAAGCCAATGTGTATTTAATTAAATAATAAATATAATGTATAAAATATAAATATAAAAATAAGTATATCTAAATACTTGTTTCTGCTGATTCTTACTCTGAGCAACTTATTTTCTTAGGTTTGGTAATGTTTGATTACGAGCTCATATTTGATAAATTTAATCTGTGGAATCCTGGGTACCTAAATTAGGATGCTTTCCTCCAGAGCGGCAGTCTCCAACCCTTTTGTCACCAGGGACTGGTGCTCTTATGAGAATCTAATGCCTGATGATCTGAAGTGGAGCTGAAGAGGTGATGCTAGCACTGGGGAGAGGCTGCAAATATAGATGAAGCTTCGCTTGCTCACCCGCTGCTCACCTTTTATGCAGCGCTGTTCTTAATAGGCCGCGAACCGGTGCTGGTCCGCGGCCTGGGAGTTGGGGACCCCATTTGTATTTGCTTTTTCCTGGACCCATACTGGGACCACTTTAGCCCCGTTTGAGGGTCTTGGCTTCACATGGAAGTCTCTCAGAAAGTTTCCCTACCTGAGTTGGTCCTAAGGGTTAGTCTCCAGACCTGAACATTAGTGTGGACATTTGTTCCCAGGATGATCCCAGCTTTTCCATTTGCCTGGTGTATAATCACATTTCATCTCACCATTTTTGTTTGTTTGTTTTATTTTATGTTGAATCTTGGAGCTTCTTTTATTTACTTTTGAGCCAACAATACATACTTTTGTGTATTGATTACATTTCTGATGGGCATTTAAATCAGTACAAACCATAGGGGTATAATTTGGTATCTCTATTCAAATTATGAATGTAAATACATATTGATCTAGCAGTTCCATTTTTAGGAATTTACCCTATAAATATACTATTATTAAAAATGTGAAATGACAGAAGTTTTTTATTGCAGCACTGTTATAATACCCAAAGGTTGAAAACAAGTGCATGTTTATCAGTAGGTTAAAACAAAAAAAAATGCAGACTGGTGTATATAGTGTCCTAGCATTTGTGTGAAGGAGGTTTGAAAAAATATGTATTAGGATTTTCTTGTCTGTGTATTGAAGAAATCTTTGGAAGAAAAGAAGAAAGTAGCAGTTGTTAAGTGAAACTGAATGGATAGGGTAGGTATGAGTGGGAGATTTGTCACTATAACTTTTTTTTTTACTTTTAAATGTTTGAATCATGACTTATTTTAAAATTAAATTTATGCAAAATCCTTTTCACTCCCCCATTAAAAAATAAAAATTAGTAAATTTGGGGGGTATAATGCTTAAGGAGTATGTTTGTTATAATGTATCTAAGATCTAATTACTTTGTAATAGAAAAGCCCTTTAAAGTATCTAGTCCATAATACTGCCACAAACATGTCATTTGATCTGGAGAACTTTAAAGCATATGTGGCTTCTTTACTTTATAGGCAAAGAAAACAAAGATAATACTACTTCCACTGGCCCGTTGTACAGTGAAGCTGACAGATGTCCAATATGTCTTAATTGCCTATTAGAGAAGGAAGTTGGTTTTCCAGAAAGCTGTAATCATGTCTTCTGTATGACCTGTATTCTTAAATGGGCAGAGGTGAGTCTGAGAATAAATATTAAATATTATTCTATATTCTCTACCACGATTTCATTCTACCTAAAGATACTGGTTTTCATAAATTATTTTACAGTACTGTGTTCCCCTTCCTTTGGACAAATTTCATTGTATTATTCAAATTCTGGCAGTATATTTTCTTTTATAAAAAATTTAAATACATACTTTTTAAAAAAACTTTACCTTATAGGAATAAGAGATTTTTTTTTTTTCTTGTAGAAATGCAGTAATTAATCTTCAGTGTACTTGACCCTCTTGGGATATCTGTTTACTACTAATGACACCTTCTGTCTGCTGTGTGTTTTATATTTTTCAGATAATTTTTACATAGATTATTTGATTTCTTCTTTATATCAGCCTTGTGGGATGACCAGAGCAGATGTAATAGTGTCCTTCTGTTTGGATTTTGCATTCTATAACTTGGCCAAGGTCTCATACCTTAAGAGGCAAAAATGAATTTAAAACTTCATTTTCTTAACTCCTGGTTTTAATTTAGTATGAACTAAATTTAGAGTTTGAGTTAGATGTATTACTGAATTTCTTCATAAATAGTAAATGATTAAGAAACAGGACATTTTGGACTTTAATGTATTATGTTGACTCAGTTTGGGCTCACTTAAGTAGATCATGGTACTGGTGCATTGTGAAATAAAAATTCATTGTCATATTAATCATGCTATATAATCTGAGTAATTTGTCAGTGCGGAGATATTAGTAAAGGAGGTAAGTCTCAAAAATATTTTAACATTAGTTGCTTTCAAATTGTTTAATGTCCCTAAGCATTTTGGAATTAATCACTTATTATATAATTGGGATCTTCAAAGTTCTCTGTTTACTTATGTTCTCATTAATAGGGTGGAAAGAAGAACATAACTGCATACTGACTATGGCTGAGGTTTGGGAGGAAGATAAAAAAAGATTTGTACCAATTGAATTCATAATAGTATACTTGGAAACAGTTCTTTTTAGAATAAAATCTAACCTTGTCTTTGGCAGGAAGTGACTAAGAATAGGTGAAAAAAGTATTTTGAGTTCAATTTAATTATTTAATATGATAATAAATCTCTATGTTTGCAGGAGCATTGACTAATGAAATAAGAATGCATATTTTTCTTTGCCACTCAACTAAAAATTTTATCTGTGATGAATTTAGTACATCTTGGTTTGCTCTGTGATTAAATCTTTTTAAAATAGGAGATATTGCTTCCAGTAGAGAAATAGTATTACTGGATGGGTAGTGGGCTCTAAGTCAGTGCTTCTCATAAGATTGTATTCAGTGAGTACATAATTATGAGGTTCAACAACATAATCTGAGTTTGTATTTTTCTTTATGAAAATGAGAATTTAGTAAATAGACCCAATTCTTCATCTTTCCTTACCCTCTGTCTGCATCTTTCACACAACCATGAACTTTATCATGGTGTACGTGTTCCAGGTTTCTCTAGAGTATGTATCTAGAAGTGGAACTACTAGGTTGTACACTATGCACTCTACTAGATAGTGGTAAACTTATCTATGTTTTTAACTCTTGTTGAATATTTTTAAGTTGAAAATACTTGATAACATATGTAGTGTTGCAGTCAACACCTTTCTTGAATGTAATATTTTCCTTCTTTTGTGTTACTCCTTTGGACATAAACATTTGATTGAAGCCAGATTGCTTTTAAAAGAAAGTGCTTATCTGCTGTACTGCTATAAATTGTGATGGGGTAGGATTGGGGGTGTTGCGGTATTTTTTAAACCAGCAGTCCTCCATCGTTTTGGCACCAGGGACCAGTAGCTGCTATGAGAATCTAATGCCTGATGATCTGAGGTGGAGCTGAGGTGGTGATGCTAGCTAAATACAGATGAAGCTTCATTCTCTCGCTCACTCACTGCTCATCTCCTGCTGTGTGGCGGATTCCTAATAGGCCATGGACCAGTACCGGTCCAAGGCCTGGGGGTTAGGGACCCCTGCTTCAAACAAAAGTAATCTTAAAAGTGGACAATAAACAATATTTTGAATTATATCATTGTCCCTAATGGGGTTATCAGCCATCAATTAAATAAACCATTAAGTAGAGAAGTAACAAGAACACAATCTACTAATAAATTGTTCATTATACATAATAAATTAATACTGGTTAACAAAATCACTTAGACTTTGAACTAAATTTTCAGTGAATATTTTATTGGTATGATAAAAATTAGATGTGTTTTGAAGTATGTATGTGCTTTGACACATAGAATCAGATTTCAGATTCACTAGTATTTTTTTCATGGCTATTATTAATCTCTTCCCTCTCGTTTTCCTCAACTCCCTTCTGTTTTTAAAGAGGCATGCAGTTTACTTTGGATTTCAGGATTAGAAATAAGTATATATATTCAGTCTCTTAGCCAGTCAGGCCCTGTGCTAAAGATTTCTTATATATTCTTTCATTTAAATCACTATGTCATTGTTTATTTGATATTCAAGGCAAGGATTCTGAACTCTAATTTGTTTCTAAATACCTCACGAGATAGCACAAAATTAAAATAACTTAAAAATTGATACATAGTTTAAAATTTTACTAGTGTTTATTTCTTTGTAGAAAAGTAGAAATCAAAGTGAGATTTACAGTGTTTGGAAATCTACATAGTAAGAAAAGAGTTCAAAATGTATTCAGGATCATTTTCCTAGTCTTGTGTTACTTTCAGAAATTCAGCTGGGCTCTCTGAACTTTGTATTTAAGGTTCACCGAAATATGATTCAGAATGGATATCACGAACCAAAAAGGCCTAATTTATTTACTTTCACCTTAGTATTTTAGGCATTGAAGAAGTTCTGTTCTGTAAGAAAGAAGTAAAGTTAAGATATATAGTAATCTAGTATATTTATTTTGGACACAATTTCTGAAAATTTTTATGCTTTTTAAGTATCTTTATCCAAAGTCAAAGTTAGTTTCAGTCTCTTCAAGCTCTAAAATTTTGGTTCCTTGGTCATTTAAAACAAAAGCCATGTAAAGTGATATAACTGAATTTAGTCTCTAAGTATGTCAAAGAATCCGCTTTACCTAGGTCAGAAAGATTCAGGATAATGGAACCTGTGGTGGCGTTCATGGCCATAGCCTAATTACCTTCCTTTGAGGACACTAGAACAAAATGAAGTTAAGCATGTCCACTGTGACTATGTTTAATTTCAAGGAACTCATAATAGGTAAGCCTATATTGGTTTATAAAATACTAATGATGATGTAGAAGTAGAATATTGAACCAAAGACATGGTATTTGACTTGACACTTAAAGAAACTTGAAATTTTGGTTAAATCATCAATATTAGAGCTGAGAATCTGAAACTAAACAAAAGAAGGCCTCTGGACTGGTAAAATGTGTATAGAGCCAATACACTGTAGTTTATCATCTACTCAGAAAGTTACTTATTTATTTTACCCATACTGTGAGCAGAATCACAGGCGAAACATATTCAGAGTTTTTAACTTTCACCTGAGTTTAACTTTGTCTGATTTCACACATTTTAAAGTACAGTCACGTGCCGCATAATGACATTTCAGTCAACTACGGACAGCATTTACAGTGGTGGTCCCATAAGATTATAATGAAGCTGAAAAATTCCTATTGCCATGAAGTCATAATCATCATAATGTCATAGAACAGCACATTACTCACATGTTTGTGGTGATGTTGGTACAAATAAACCTGCATTGCCAGTCATATAAAAATATAGAACATATAATTATGTACATAATACTTGATAATGATAATAAATGACTATGTTCTTGGTTTATGATTTACTGTACTGTACTTTTTATCAAAATATTAGAATGCACTCTTTCAACCTATTAAAAAAGTTTGCTGGTTCATACCTACCCATGGATACCGCCCCCCGCAAAAAAAAAAAGTTTGCTGTAAAACAGTATACTATGTTATACCGACAGCAGCCTCATACATCTATGTATACCATGTCTCATGAGTGTATCATTTTCTTTTGTGCTTGATTTAATCTCCGTTGTTTTGTACAGTAGCATGCTGTATAGTCTTATAGCCTCGGAGCAATAGATTATACCATAGAGCCTAGAAGTGTAATAGGCTATACCCTCTAGGTTTGTGTAAGTGAACTCTATGATGTTTGCACAATTTTGACACAATCTAATGACACAATTGCCTAACGACGCATTTCTCAGACTGTGTCCCCATTGTTAAGCGGTGCATGACTGTAGATAATGCGACGAAGTCTGACACATGGCTGTGGTAGTGACAATTGATTGTAATTATGATCTTCTATAGATAAGAATATACCCCTTTCACACATACACTGGTTAAGAAAAGAGGATTTATTATTTGGTATGTTGCCAAGAAGTGGTTAAAATTTTGGCTTTTATAGGTTATAGTTTGAGAACTTGGAAACATTTTATGTTTGAAGCATTCAAGAGTTTAACTCTACTTAAAGGGGTATGTAATATATGTGATTAGGAGGTTCTTGATATCCACTGGGGTTCTTTTATCTTTTAAGAAATATAAAATATTCTTATCTTTTAATTATTGAAATGTGATTAACTTTCCTACTTTAAGAGAATTATCTTCCCTCAATTTATCTCAGTCTTCCATTTCATATCAAATGCTGACAGCTTCAGTTTGAGAAAGTAAGGTTAATGAAATCAAAATTGGACAGTTGGCAAAGATATGTTTTCTCTCATGAGACTAGAAATGAAGAAAGTCTTACTGTGGTGACATAACAGTTCTTGAAGAAATCAAACAACAGTGTTCAATGCAGACAGGTGAGGAGTATATTTTTGAATTAATACATACCAAAAAATTAAAATAAGACTAATTGACTTACATCTTGCCTACTGATGTATTTTATATGCAGATGTTCCTTTATGCAGTGAGTAAAAATCTGCACATCATTCTGTTGATTAGATTACTTTTTAGTGTAATTTAGCAAAGTTTTATTGTTTGGATTTTTTCAGTTTTTCAAAATTTAAAATTTAAATTTTCTTTATTCC